TAAATGAAAATCATGTCAAATCTTCACAGGTGAATTGATCTATTTTTGATCTACTAATTGATCTATTTTTTCATGCCTTTATATTATGAAAATCACGCCATCCATCAGTTTAGAGTCAGCCGCCAAAAAATAACAATGAAAGAATATTATAATGTTTAACTAGTTTTTATTTCTAATGTTTCAGTTACATGTCTACACAAAGAGAATTTTCAAATTTACGCAAAAATCAATTGCATATCCTATCTATATTTTCAGACCTTGAGTAGAACATACAATGTATATAAATGAGGTTTTACAAGAATAACATAATTTTAAATACATTGGAGCATAGTATGACATAGTATGACATCAACAAGAAAATCAGATCAGTCACAGTACACATAATATTAATAAAAGAATGCGATTTTTTACAAATTTATAAAACATTGCTGAATTGTTATGGTTTATAGTATGGAAAAAAGAACAGCAACTTTAAATAAATTTATATAACAAGAGTAAAAACATACCATTTTTCTCTGCCTATAATTTTCCCTAATGCATGCATTACTCTGCCCATAAGCCAAGATTTTCTAAACACAATATTGCTGATTTCAAGCCATGGCTACAGGAGTACTTTTCAGATCGAAACAAAGAGTTAACACAAGAATAGGAATGTACCTGTTCTTTTCTAAATAGATAAATATTTTGTTTTTCTTATTGAGTTTCTAATGTAATGTTCTTTTTGTTCATTTTTCACAAAAGAGTTATAGTTTCTCACTGAACTTTTTTTGATCTGCGAATAATCCCCCCTATGGATAAGCACCCCACAGATCAGCCTGCCAAAAAAGCCTTATTAACACAGATAAGCCCTGGCCTTGCAGGCAGAGAAAGATGGTATGTACATTGAAGTTGTCCTAAATAACAAATGGTGATTGTTATAAGCAAATCAGTCCAATTTTACCTTTTTAGTCAATTTCTGTGGAGGATCTACTGATGACTTTGCAAAGTGCTTTTGATTTCAGCTGTTTTAGTTTTATTTTTTGTTTCTGTATTATGTCCTTTACAAAAGAAAATGAGCGAACTTTTACATACAAATTTGTGATATTGTAAAAACATCTCTTGCTAATTTACTGTCAATTACAAGGTCAGAGTCAGATAGCATGGCATTGTATGCTGCAACAACTTCTGCATCATGAGTAGATGTTGATATGACAATAGCAATAGGAATGCTTTGCAAATCAGTTGATGAAGTGCCCTCTCTGAAGTAGTGTTGAGTTCTTTCAAAAATGATCTCACTATTTTTTGTGATTGTTCATAGACCACCACAATTTAAGGATGTAGTCAACTTCTGTTCCATAGCAAAAGGGTCTTCTAATTTTCCAGACTTAAGTACTGACAGTGATTGCTCAGTTTCTAATGACTTCTTTGCAATTGCATGCTTGTTGTAAAGCTTTGGAAGCACATAACCTTCAATGTACTGTAATCCAGGTTTTTCTTTATCAGACAGTTAAGTCGATGGAATACATGTATGACTCTCAAGTAATTTCTCTTCAGCACTACATGCAAGTATGCTGTCAGCAACCTTAGTTGATAGTAGGGTAGCAGCCCTCCTTGATAATCCTTCAAAATGCTTCATAGCCTGCAAAACAATATTTGAGTAAAGGCAGCATATAATCTCTCAGCGTTTCCAGAGTCGACTAAACAGTTAAATAGGTTCTGAATTTCAGAGAATTCTGATGTTATGTTGCAGTTGAAGGACTTGATTTCTTCTCTTATTAGCTGTGGATACATTTTGCAGTCGCACAATTTTAATTTGGCTTTCTCAACAATCCTTCAATAAGTTTCGGCTGTTAAATAGCTTTGTCGTTTTCTTTGGTCTTCCTTTTTGATAACTTTGTGCTTTACAGTTCTGTGGCGTTTCAGTCCACTCTTGCTCTTGCATTCCTTGTGACATTGTTGACATTTAATCCTTTTGAGTTGCAAACAAGAAGAACCTGTCATTGGTGCAAACAAGAAGTTAGTTAGAGTTAGCCTTCGTTTAAATAAGGATAAAAACGAAGTACAATCAATAAAATTGATAAATGATAATAAAGTTGCTGCTTAAGTTCTGCTTGTATTTCATGCTTAATCGAAAAAAAAACGGTTTCAAGCAAGAGCTAAAACAAATCAGAATTGATCTGGTGATCTTTTTCTCACTTAGGCCGAAACATTGAACTTTTATCACTAAAATTGCCAAACTTTCAGCAGACTTAAACACATACTTCATCGATAGCTTCTTCAAAATGTTCATCGATCTCTTCATCTTCATCTAGCATTTCTAAGATTCCGTCGAAATCGTCTCCAAACAAAAATAAATCATCCATGTCAGCCATGTTTGCTTTTGTTGTTTTGGACTTGAGATTGACGCCTGCACGGTGATGGTATGTATGGCTCAACCTCAAAAGCAAAACAATAAGTCGCTCTTTTGAAGTTCACCGGCTTTCCAAACAAGTCCCCCTCTACCAACTATTATGATTGCCAGTGGAACCCCTGAAATACCTTTGTTTAGTCTTTCTTCACAATTTGAAAAAATTGTATTCTTCTTGCGAAAGGCTTTAACTACACTTTTCAATGATTTAATTTTGTTTTTTCGACAACGTGACTTTTGGTTGGAGCATTTTAACTTTTCCTTTGGTAAGTTAATGCGACTCTTGCATTAATTACATGAAAAGAGTAAAATTGTTAAACAACGATGATATTTGAAGAAATAAGAGCTCAGTTCAAAATACACTAACTTAAACAGTTCAATATATACATGTTTGCATCATTATGAAAATCTCTTTACATTGTTTTATAACTTTTTTATTTTGTGCTCCTCTCACAGAAGATATTATTTGGTATATCGTAAAATGTATCGGTTATATTGTCAGCATCAAGTCTAACCTTTCTAAGATATTTTGGGAATTGTTTACATCTTGTCCGTACTAAATCATTTTTCAATATTGCCTTTCTACCAACACGCTGAATACTTGATTCTTTGAAATGGTCTGAACAGATCCTTGAGTATTGACTTGAACTCCAGTCTTGAGTCTTGACGATGCATGTTTGCTAGCCAAACAGAACTTTTTGGGGAATCAGATAGGAACCTTAAGGTTATTTGAAAGTAATGTGAACCAACTAGGTGCTCTAAGCAACATTGATAAAAAATGATCTGTATCTTGATTCAAAAGTAATAATTTTGTGAATTTATCAATAGTTATGAACAACAAAGTCAGTAAAATGTGTCTTTATATCATTATTTTAGGGCAAGGTTATATATCAGAGCTGTTTATAGTGCGAGCTTTCTCTTTCAATAATTTGCTGAAATAAGTTTGTGGTGTTGATTGGTTTCAGGTAATGCAGTTTTTCTATTAACAATTTTTCTACTATTATTCCCTTGGAATTAAAACAATCCAAAACAAAACAAAACTTTGTGAAAGCCTTGAAAAAATGGATTCAGGACTAATTTTGTCACCTAGAAACTAATTTATAGGTGATTTCTGCGACAAAACTGCCAGTTCTCAATTTATAAGCATTTAGATTTGATATTGAGTTTTGACATCCTTTTTTTCATGGATTAAGCCATATGTTTGCTCATGGATTAAGCCATATGTTTGCCCATCACCTGTGCACAGAATGTGCTTTTTAGCATCTTCAAATACCAATGTAAAATACTCTGAAAGGCCCTTCTGCATCCACAGCAGCTTTGCCAACAAACTAGACCTTTAATGGCTTGGCACCGTCCGCAAACAGGAGTTTTACTTTTTGGGTCGTATCCAGCCACAAAATGGTCATATATGGATCTGCTGTTGAAACACAGACTGCTAATCTCCTGCCACGCTTTGGTTTTAGCTTCTGCTCATACTCGTGCCAATACATCAGGCCAACTGAAATAACCGTTTCGATGTGCTTCTTGGGAGGCTGCTTCTTAGTTACACGGGCTTTCCATGTGTTTTTCTTTATCCCCCTATATTGCTCAAACGACTTTATCTCTCTAATAAACGGGAGGCAGTCAGCTTGGGGATTCAGTAACACATTCATCAGTCTAGCAGTATGATTGACATAATTGGCATGACATTATTAGAAAGTATAACATAATTGGAGTTTTTACAACAGTAGACAATGCCATCATACAGACAAATGGACTGAATCTACAGGGTCTGCAATTAAGCCCAGCCTTTAACTTTATGCACTGTTCAAAGCTCTTAATTTCCTTATTGAAATGATTTTGTGCTTCAAAACTTATCCATTTTGCAAACAAGGAAAGAAAGATTTGAGAAGATTCTTGCTCATTAAAAAGATCAGTGACTTGAGTAAGTTTTGAATAAAAGTGAGAATGAAGAAATAGCTCAGCTGATGTCAATGCCCTCAGAAGAATATAGAGACTTCTAAGCCGTATCTGCAACCAGAGAGCTTCCCTCTTTTTCCTTCATTTCTTGTTTTTCACACATTTTTTGTACTCTTTGCATAATTATTTGTTGTTTTGTTGCCAAGAATTTATCTCTTTGCACCTTTTAAGATTTCCTTGCAATTTCTAGGAACTTGTTTCTTTTCTCCTCTGATAATTTCTCCCTCCAATCACCTGTCTTATTAGCTTTGAACATAATAATGCCTTCACTTGCAAAATCACTTGCTTTTGGTTTTTAACTTTATTCGGTTGTCTAGCATTCCAAAATCTCTTTCTGATTTAATATTACTTGTCTCTACATTCTTTGTTTCTTTTCCAAAAGCTTATTCTTTCTCTTTACCCCAAAATTCCCCCATATGATCCCCCAGTAACATCTTTGTCACAGCTGCAAATCCACAAAAAAAATATTTCTAAACATTGCTTTGTCGTCTGCTCATGTTCTTCATCTCTAGGCAAAAAAAGATGTTCAAATACACAATCTTTGTTGACCAAAATTTCATCTCCAGATAATTTCATATCACCAGACAAATTCAGATGCATCTGACCCCAACAAAATAAATTTATCGTATAACCCTTTGTAAAAAACATTCATATCTAAAATATGTCCATCTTTTGAAATTGCTCTCCAGAGTGGTCCAGTTATTAATTTATCTATGATACCTAAAGCTCCGCATGCTGTTGGAAAGGATGTAACTTCAAGATCTTATTTAATTGCTGTGAGAAGCTTGTTCTCTTTCCCATAATGCTAAAAAAAATCTTCAAATGTTCTCCTAAAAAATAAGTTCCAGTAGCATTGTGAAAATATTGAATCGATTACAATATTTGCTCTCCAGACTGGTCCAGTTATTAATTTTTCTATGATACCTAGAGATCTGCATGCTAATAGAAAGGATGTAACTTCAAGATCTTATTTAATTGCTGTGAGAAGCTTGTTCTCTTTCCCATAATGCTAAAAAAATCTTCAAATGTTCTCCTAAAAAATAAGTTCCAGTAGCATTGTGGAATAAAATATTGAATCGATTACAATATTTGCTCTCCAGACTGGTCGAGTTATTAATTTATCTATGATACCTAGAGATCTGCATGCTAATAGAAAGGATGTAACTTCAAGAACGTATTTAATTGCTGTGAGAAGCTTGTTCTCTTTCCCATAAGGCTAAAAAAATCTTCAAATGTTCTTCTAAAAAATAAGTTCCAGTAGCATTGTGAAATAAAATATTGAAGCAATTACCAAAAAATGGTGCCAAAGGAATTCCATTAAGATTTCTTTCTTGCTCTAAAAAGGTTTTAAAATTGATCATCTGTCCAGACCTCTCGCATCCTCTCTCTTGCACTGATTTACAAACAGTTTGGATCAACCTGTATGTCCTTGATTCACCTTTGCTGTACCCCAAGGTTGCCAAAGAACTAATTTTATTGTCCTCCCAACACAAAGAATCCCAAATTTTGCAACAAGCCTCTGCTTGATCTGCTAGTGCTACAAGATAGTGTAACCCAAAAAAACTTGTTCACTCTACTTAACTTAGCTTTTTCCATATTAGTCAGAGACTCCCAACCCTCAACAACACTTTGCAAAACATCTTTTCTGAAACAAGTAAACAAATTATCAAACTTTGTTTGAACAGCATAATGATCTGACATCACATTCTTTATACTTTTTATAATTTTCTTAACCCAACCATCAACAACAAGACCAAAATTCCCAACATCGATTAGTCAGAGACTCCGAACCCTCAACAACACTTGGCAAAACATCTTTCCTGAAACAAGGAAAGAAACATCAAACAAACATCACCAAGTACATCTTGCAAAACTTTTATCTGTGTAGCAGAATCTTCACTTGCAATTTCCCTCAGGCCAGTTATTAAACATACTCCATCATATTTGACAATATCATACGTTATAAATGATCTGCCTTTCCTTTAAGTTCCATCAGAAAGCAAAGTCCTGTTCTCTGTGCTCCACTTTTCTTTTAATTCATCAAAAACATGAAGCTGTGCCAATGCTCATAGAGCATATACTTATCAAATGTGGACTTTGGCAGATTATGGACATTGACTTCAACAACTTTCATACATTTCCTAATAACATCTCAACATTATTCGTGCTAACACCTAAACAAAGCAGGTCTTCATACAGCATACGAATCTCATCAACAAATTTCCCATTTTCATAAAAATAAATCTCATGTCCCTTCAAAAAACATTTAATCTTTACAACTTCTCATTCTCAAATTCAGTTATTCTTTCTTCCAAATCATCAATCTTTGAATTAAATATATTGATGCTATTTTCAATAGATTTATTTCTTAATTGTGTTTTCTAATGAGTTTTAATTTTTTTGTGCAGATAATTTTTCATGGATGGCTTTGTTTAGATTTTCTACTAGTTTGTCTATCTCCTGGTCTTTCTCTGCAAGCTCTTCATCTCTGTCAAGTAACTCTGTGGATAAATCTACAAGCACATCTTCTTTCTCCTCTTCTTCTAATTTATTATGCATCTGGCGTATTCTTTTTATCTTCTGATTATTATTCTTTGCATATAATGTATCAATTTTCCCAACAAGATCTTTTAACACCTCCTCCCTAGCCTTCAAATCATTGACAGCATCATTGAACTCCATCTTAAATTTTCTCAGCATTGCCTTCTGCAAGTATTCTTCTATATTTCTGCTCATTCAATCTATCAATTAACTAACCTATTCTAACTTCAATTTCATCTAACCTTTCTAATAACATTGTAATCATCGTTGTTTTCTCTTTAACATTAATGTGCTGAGAATTTGACACACCTGAAACTAACTCATGCTTTCTTTTCTCATATCTATTAACTGGTTTAATAAAAAATCATTAAGAAAAATGTTTACATCTTGCTTTTGTTGGTGCTTTTTGAGGTCAGTAACTCTTTTCTTCACTTTTAAAACTGCTGTGCGAAGACTTTCCTAAAAAATTATTTCATTATCATCACAACAAAATATACAAACCCAGTTTTTGAAGTTAATCCAAGACGCATTAAGTTTAACCTTGGCGTCATTAGGCAAAACAGCATTTCCCTTGCTCAAAGAGTCTAAAAAATTCAAGGAGATCCCCCTGCTTTTCAAAACAAAGCAATCAGAGGTTTTGCCTGCATCAGCAATCTTATAAATGGGCTAATATATTTTGGAAAAATTATTCTTAACTTTTGCAAGTGTACTGAAAATACTCCTTTTAAGATTGCTTGGGTTTTTTATTACCTTTACAACCATCTCAACATTATCTTCTAGAAGGGTAGAGCTTGCGAATTATTTACAAGGGGTTTAAAAGGGGTTGCGAATTATTTACAGAGTTAGATTGACAAAATGCATTTCAGATGTTTGTGACAGCAACTAAAGAATTCCAGGCAAAAATTTTATATTTAGGTTAATTTTCAGTCCACACCCTCCCAACAAGCCTTGCCTTGCGACAACCCTGATTCTTCCTTCCTCGAATCATGCTCAGACAAAAAGCCTCTGTAACCTTTGTTAAAACATGTACACATTTGTCCGAATATGATGTTTACTCAACTCCTAAGGGTCTCAATTCATGATGGGGACTAGTGTCATAAAGTTTGAGCCTCCTCGTAACATGTTTCTCATTAAAAACAACATCTACATTTAGAAGCTTATTGATATGTTCCCTTTTATTGAGGTTGGTTAGAGATCTCTGTTCCAGGATATTGAAAGCTCTGACATAGTTATTTTCACTTGAAGAAAAACAAGCTATTACTTTTTTGGCAGGTTCTTCCAAGTAATTCTTCAAGTACAAGAACTTATCAATCTTTGAAATATGGTCTTTTTGATGAACTGCACTCTTGTAAATAAAACTGTTACCTGCGAATAACTTGTTGGGGGTAGCCAGTATTTTTCGTCTACCTGTATCTCAAGCTGCTTCAACTTTGATTTATCATCCAAATTATCCTCAATTTGCCTGATTACCTATGTTGCAAAAGCTTTACGCCTTCCTCCAATATTTCTCTTCTACTTCAATCCATCCATGGTTCATTCAGTAGAACACAAATACATGCAGGATCGATGGACCAGATTTTTTGACCTGTCAGGATTTATCCTTGCTGATTCTTTTGAACTTTTTGTTTAAGAGAAGACACCAAAGAAGCATTCATCTCTGCTTTTCACAGATCATTTATCAACATATCAGCTAAGTCTGCAAAGTCACTGCCAGTTGCACCCACATAAACAAACCCTTTACGATCTATATATACTATAGTTAATGCAAAATAAATTACCAATGACAATGCTGCATTCAATTTACGTCAAATAGCTCAAGCTTCAGTGTAACTGTTATAAGCAATAAGGAAATAAGGTAAACAGAATAACTGAGTCAGAAAGTCACAAGATACTGCTAAGTCCTGATTGCTCTAATCTAATAACCTCATTTGACTATGTAATGAAAAATTCGTTAAACCCGGACATATACATGGAACAAATTGATGATAAAGTCGTCATGTTGTTATAATGAACAAAACATTCAAAACCTATATGGTAGACCTTTATGTTTCAATGTTATAAACATATATATCTATTAAAAAGAAGGATTTCAATGAACAGGGATGTGTCATGGGCAAATTTTATAAGGCTTTCCTAGTGTGAGAAGGGCAAGTGTCACATTACAGAAGAGCAGGCTTGGAATCTTCTGCTCAGTAGCCTTACAGAATGTGATATAGGCATTTGTGATGGTTCTGTCAATAAGGCCAAAAAAGTTTTTTTCCACCATTTCTTTTTTTTTCTGTTGATGCCACAAATTGCACAGTAAAATCTGCCTTATGAACTCTACTCATGTTATTGTTGTAACTGATGAGTGCTTTTGGGCAACTAAAAATCTTTCTTGAGCCATTCTTTTGTTTGTGCTTTATCTCACTGATTTCAGTCCCTCCGTTTATGCATAACAATACTGTGTCCTGATACACATCTTTCTGAATCACCTCGCTTCAGAGCTTTGTCATGTTTAACAAGCCATTGTCATCACGTTTAACAAGCCATTGTCATCAAGACCCCTTTGCAGCACAGCTGAATTTCTGATTATCTAAAATAAATTTTGGCCTAAGCACCTACGTGCATTCGACCAGCGGTAATTGGTAGAAGTTCAATTACGGATAGAAGCTAAACCAAAGAGACAGCAGGGAAGGCCTAGTTGCGAAGGGGTTATGGGAAAAAAACAGGTGGTGTGTCAAGTAACATGGAAAGGGGCTCTTTCTACATAGACTGATGAGCAAACTTGACCTTGGTGAAATAGCAACTGATGCATCAAGCTCAGTTATCAAAAGGTTTTTTGAATTGAAAGGTTGGTGTCAGTAAAATTACAGTCAGTCTGTCTTCATTCAGGTCTTTTAAAAATAATATAGACATGTTGATGTGGTTGCAATGGATTCAATGAAGGCAAATTGATTTTTTATAAACCAAAGTAGCTTTCTGCCTTCAATCAATTATTACCAGGCCAAAGAGATTTTAGGAAAATTTATGGGATTTATACAGCCAAACCTCTTTCCAAAAATGTTTCTGTCAGCCAAACTTGTCATTTGTTAACAAACTCATGGCACAGCACCTTCAAGAGAATTAGAAAATCTTTAAGCATGTCTCTTATTTCCTTAGCTGCTTTCTTACATGGGTTTATATTCCTCCTATGTCATGCTGGATACTACCCGTTGTTATTTTTGCTTCCCTGTTTCCAGAAACAGTGAAACCTGGGGGGCAATATCTCTGTTCATTCACAGCTGTTTTGTTAAATATCAAGTCACTGTCCAGTGCAACCACCGCTTTGGAGTGCAGCCATCAAATTTTATGGATGTTTCGATATCAATACCAACTTAAGGCCCCGCTTCTGGGTCAATTGTCTACTTTTAAAAAAGCAGATCAATGTTCCCTTGTGTGAACATCTTTCACAATGCATCATTTGAAAGGTCTTTGAAAGAATTTTACAAAAATAAAACATAGCCAACACTTTTTAATTAGTTGTTGTTATGGTTACAAAACCATGGCTTTCTATTTGCTGATGTCAGATATCATTAACAGAACTCTTTAAGGTTACGGTAAACGTTTTCTTGATGAAAACATCATTTTTTCGATTTTTTCACATTCAAGTAGCCGAACTTTCAAGGCATACAGTGATACCAAATTTGAAACAAACAAAAATTTTGAAGTTGAAAAAATCCCATGTAACCAAAGGTTTCCATAATTTCTTTATCAAAACTTTTAGTTGAGGCCTGAAAATCTCTTGACCTGTTAAGCTGGTTATCGTTGCTTTGCGGTTGTGGTCGCATGTCTCATTTACAATATCGCATGGCACATCCATATATCCAATGTACGGCCGTGTTTATTTAAACAGGCTTATTGATCTTAAATCTTCAAGTGACTTGACCCGGATTAGACTGTGGTTTACGAGTGTATCTTGCAAGTGCGATCAGTAAAATCCCGTTTTCTCCGGACTCGAAATTCCTCTACATGCAGGTACGAAAAAGCTATTATGTACCCAAGGAACCAATTGAATGGCTCGAAAATTTGCACACGGCCAGGGCAGACGTTGGGCAAACAAAGGGTGTCTCAAAATTTTTTTATTTTCTCTGGTCCGTCTTTTATACCCAAATACAGTTGTGGGAGGGTGGAAAAATTATTTGCCAATTTTTGACAGGGTATAGTTTCATAAAGAGGAGGAATTTAAAAAATCTGAGACACACTTTGGTAGCTTAGGACCTGCACTTCCTGCTGGTGTAAGTCAGATTTTGTTACCTCAAACGCAAGGGTACATAATAGCTTTTGAAGGTGGTACACTTTTTGACCAGTAAATTCGCATGGGAAATAACATTTCACATTATTTGCCAATAATTTTTATCTGGCTAGATACGCCATAATCTTGTGCATCAAATGATATATAGTTTATCCAGATTTCTTGAGCCGTTTGGCCTTTAGGAAGGAAAAACCAATTTTCGTGTTCAAAACGTTTACCGTAACCTTAAATTAAAGAGATAATATAATAAAATTTGGACAAATCTACAGCAAGGAAAAATCCTATTGAGAGTTTTCTGATATCTTTTTTTAACCATAGATATACATTATCAAATGTTTACTCGGTCCAAGGTTCCTTTTCCAAAGTCCCATGAAAAATTCTCAATAAGATGAAGATAAATTTAATTATAGACAACCTCTCCAAATTTGAACACAAAATGTTTTACTATTTAAAAGCCTCAGCAATTTGAATCATGACAGGTATCTAAAAATCACATTAGGAGAAGATAGGCTTTGAAGTTTAGCAATATATTGTGTGGGAAATGTTGCTTTCCTATTGAAGAACAGTAACTGGAGAAAGGTTTAAATATCTAAGATAATGTTCTTTGAAAATCTCAAAAGTATCTGAAGATCAAAACAATCCACTTTTGTAGGTTATACCTTCATTTTCTATTTGTCTCTCTTCAGACGCTTGATTCTCCAACACAAGTGACTTTCTCTTTTGTTTTACTAAATCTTCTGTATAACGTCTGGCTCTGTATAGCCTTTTTTGATCTTTTCTACTTGCTGAATCTACAAGCCATTTTGAAGAATTTATTTCCATATAGGACAAGATAGCAGTTTTTACTGCATAATCGCCATTATTAAAATGTAGAACTTTCAGATAAGCAGCAAGTTTTACCCTTTTGGACCTTGCCAGGTATGCTTCAGAGCGTGCTTCCAAATGGGACTATTCAATCTCTCATTTTGATTCTGAGAGAAACCTGACAACCAGCTTGTCTTCAGATATTCTATCAAATGTTGGTTGTAGAAGTTCTAGAAAAGGCGGATCCAAATGATAGTCTTTCTCCTCATTTTCACCAACTTTCTTATGTTCGCACCAGAACTTTTCTGGGGAGTACTGATGTCTTCTCTCTGCATTTGTAATTTTAACAGAGCGGTACAGAACTGCTTTAATGTTTTTTGCAGGTTTTCAATGTCAGCTTTTTTTTGCTCCTCTGTCTTTGCTTCTGGGTCCACATTCTGCCTAATTCCATTCCTATATAATTCACTGAGCCTTCTAGCAACTTGCTCTGTTAGGCATCCTTTCCTTTCCCCAACTGGTTTGCCAACAACTTCCCCTTAGTTGTAGTTTTGCTCCCATTTAAAGCCCTATACATCCCTTCCCAACATGCCCAATACAGTCCAACTTTTCAACTTTGTTTGTCTCAGATATCCCATAGATCTCTGAAACTTTCTGATATGCTTTACTGTCACCATCACTGATAATCCATTTGTATCTAAGATTATGTTGTTGGATAGATCTGCCCCATAATCGATAGGCTGCCTCTGTTTCCATGTTTGGACTTGAACTCTCATGATTTGCCTGGCATGAACCTTCTGCTTTATGATTGGTCTTCCATTTCTCAAAGGCTGATTCATCTTTTCTAGCCTTGTTTTGTTTGCAGATCTCACAAACTTTAGCGAGAACCTCAATATCCAGCACTTCTCCAGTATCAACTGACATCACAGCTCCAACACCATGGTAAGCTGTGAAACCCCTCTTGGACCTTGTACCATGATAAGAGACAGCAAAATTGAAAACTGTATTATTTTCCACTTCTAGTTCACTGTTGAGGTTATTTATAAGTCGTTGGGCTGGGCAGCATTTGTCATGTGTTCATTACATACTGATCTTGAAACACAAAGAAGCTTTGACAAATGGTTTGAGAAATTGGAATCACTGACAGGAGGAGGGATATTTAGAATTGAAGTTATGTCAGCAAGTCCTTCTCTTCTAAGACCTGACTCAACAGCAGCTAAAGTTGCCAGTTTGTCGACTTCATCAGCCTTGTCGCTTTCAATCCTTGAATTGGAAAATTTATGGGTGTTGTCACAAATTTATGGGTGTTGTTGAAATTACACTAAATTAAGATGAAAAAATACCACTCTGGTGCTGGAATACAGTCCATTGAATTTAGCGATACCAAATGTACAGAAACTATCAATAGAGGTTGCAAATTTTAGTGGCTTGAGAACAGTCGATAGAGCAAGCCACAAGACATTTCCTTGAAGAAGAAGTTCAAACTGCGGATGGTTATAGGCTGTGTTTTGTACTTCAAGAGATTAGATGTCTGCAGAAAATCGTTTTTAAAGAAATATAAAAAAACATAACTTACCTCCAGAGCAAAGATAGGCCTCTGTTAGTGGGTCCTGCAACAACTTCATATCTACTATCCTACTTCCTTCAACAGCAACAAAATTTGTGAGTGTGCCAGGCAAAGGCCTAGGCCGATCAGCTGATGCTGAACTTTTCAGCTATCTTGGAGTCCACGTCTTCTTTTATAAATTGATGCTGAGTTCCCTTGAATTGGTTATTCTTAGTTTGTCGCATTACTTATCAAAAAATTTGACTAAAGGTGAAAATATCCAACAGTTATTTACAAAGATTGAGCATGCCAGCAGATCGACCAATTTTCATTTGCATAGGGTAATGATATCACAGGGTGTTCAACAGCAGAAAGAATGTGTAACACAAGGTAACCAAAGCTTTATAGTGTTTAGATGGGAGAGGGAATGAAAAATAGGGTAAGTCATCATCAAAGGATATTTTTTTCTTCAAAAAGTCATTTCCAGTATCAACCAGTATTGAGAAATGAACTTTTTTCAAGTTTTTGAAGTACAACCGATAGAAAATGAAAACATCATTAAATTATCTGATAAATTCTACATAAGAGGGCACAAAAATGAAAAATGGTTCACAATTGAGAAAAGAAAGATTTTTACCCAGAAGGAAGGGCCTTAATTTAGAAATTATAACTTTCATAGTGTTAAGTGTGTGACAAGTTTGATCCTAAAACTAAACCGACTTAAAAATATTATAATATCCTGACTGGGCTGTAACCTTGGAATTTAATTGAAACAAGCGTTATATTCTTGAGGTTAAGATCTTGAAACTCAATTGGATATTCGATAAAGTTTCTGTTGAAATGAATTTCTGCAATGAATTGAATGCAAAATGCGGAAATGCGACTTAGATTGGCTTTTAGAACTGAGGTTTTCATTAAGGTAGCTAAATAGATATCAGGGTTGCAATACATACTTACCTGGTGATCAAGTAATGAGAGAAGCAAATTAGGCATATTATCGCATGATAGAGAGGTTTTATAAGACAAAAAGTAAAATGAATAAAGCGAAAACAAATTACAAAACTTTTGTAATTATGTTATTGCCATTGTGCTTTATGTCAATGTCTTCCAGCTCAAGGAGGCAAACTGTGATAGTTTCAATATCTCTCTCAATATCAAGGTTTTCTTTCGCTTTTTAGAGATCTTGAATTGGCTCGGAGACAAATATAACTGTTTGCCATTTTTTTCAAAGAGCAGCTGAATTAAGGCTTTGAGTTTTGAATTTCGGGCTCTCTTTGGGCCGTGTTGCGTGCATGCACAGACATGCCCCTGATGATTCCATGCAAGATTACTTTTCGCTTTGGGTTCATCTCGTTGATTATTGAGATAATTGCATCAATGGCTTGAAGTGAGACCCATCGTGAGCAGCAAAAAGTAGCAAGATCTTCTGTTAATGTGCATTTGCCATATAACACTTTCCCATTTGGATTTGATAACAACATTTCATCAAATGCTTTGACTACCATGTTGTCAGGAATGATGCAAGCTTGGGTCGGTGGTTGAGGTTCTTTCTGAAACCATTGCATTTCCTGCTCTACATCAGTCTTTACCTTCATAAGTTTATGGGCAGTAATCATGTTTCCAAGGTCCTTAATAGAGTAGCACTTTCCCCAAGCTTTTATTGCATTGTAACCATTAGCCTTGGATTCAAGGGTAGACATTGCAGCATGACAATCAAACAGTGGGAACATACAATCAACATTTTCAAACTTATTAAAACCAGGGTTTTGGACTTTGGTGTATATAACATCTGCAGCATGCCTTGTTGTTGGAAATTTGATGGCAGGGAGTTGCCCTCTTGTAATTGTGTCATGTCTGCTCAAGTTATCCTAAAAGATAAACAAAGATCATCGCATTTTCCTAAATTTAGCAAGGATTTGGATAGCAAGAAATATTTCAACTCACAAAATAATTCCTGTAAGATTTGTCAGTTCTATGTTTAATAGACTGAGGAGAAATAGAAATAATCAAACATAACTAAATCTAACCAAATAAAATAAAGTGGTGACAAAGTCATATGATTTCTTTGCTAAAAACTAAACAGCCTTGTTATACAGATTTAGACATAGTATTGATCTTCACCATTTAGAAGTAAGCAGTAAGTAAAGCTATCAAGCTAGAGGAAAATGAGTGATGCAAAGGTTGATACCCAGTTATTAATTTTATTTGGAAATAAACTGTTCTGCTAATGCTCGCAAAATCAATGTATCATTGAAAGAGAATTGAAAATTGAGAGAATTGAAAGTTTTTTGTTACTATTTCTGTTTTAGGCAAAGTACTATATCTTATCCTTAAGCTGTGCTTTTTTTGTTTTTTCCGTTGTGGAATGTACAAAACATCATGTTACTTACCTTTGACAACATTGCTCCTCAGAGAGACGCTTCACAGTGTTCACATTGTTTTCTACAAAAGGAAACAGAAGGATTATTAAAGTTTAATAGGTAATGATAGGAGAAAGGGAAATTTTGGCGATATCTTATGCTTTCTCTCTTCTGGGTCTTGATACTAGGCAGATGGAATTTTTATGCATATGTCAATGGCTTCTATTCTTCACCTGTTTTTGATATTATTTTCCTTTCATTATTGTTTGCTCTTTCTTTTACCACTGATTTCTGAAATCTGATGTCTCAGATTTGTCTTTTGAATTTCAAATCTTACTATCATTGTGAGACAGTAAACACCATCTGCTGTGTCACATTCTATTCTCTACTTTTCTACAAACTTCTCTCCTGGTTCCTCATAACAATTTTTGTTTTATACATTTAACAATATCCATTGTATTAGGTAGGTTCCCCTTATGTTTCTTTTGTTTTTATTGTTCTTCCATGGTCATTTAGGTTGATTTTATTGACGAAGCGAAAGCGAAACGTCGTACGAAAGTGTTTTCTTTGATTCTTTATAATATCATCTCGAAACATTTCACACAATGACTTTTGAATTTATATTTAATGTTCACGCAATCCGTCTGTCATAAAGTACTCGACACCGTATAGGCTACTCTTAGGTGTGAAATTGTTGTGCAGAATTTCGTTCAGTTTATCATTATTTCAAATTCTGCTACATTACAAATTATATACACAACAAAAACATATCTTAATCTGATTCAACTTGAATAACATAACATAACAAATGCTGTAATGTAGGCTATAAGCCTCTTACAGATCGCTTCTAATCTAATTGTTGTTATTGGTATGGGATGCTCCTGAAAAACATGCAAGTAAAAACATTGGAGTCCATGCGCAATGAAAAGAAACCAAATGGATAAAAACAAATCAAAGCTTGGAAAATTTCCATTACCATTCTGTTTGTTTATTTGCGGTACTCTACCTAACCTAGCAAGAGTTTAAAGAAAGTGTATGAGAAACCTTGAGTGAATAATACCAACCTTGAACATTACCATGGCCCTTTTTCCGTTTTCACATTGTTGATCTAGAAACGAAAATAGGACATGCCTAAATCTCTCAACATACACGTTTTTTCTTTGCTTTGACTCCTCAACTCTGAACCAAAACAAATTTCTGGGCTTTTTCTGTTTCCCAGGGTACTCTGTCTCCATTGATGATTATCCAATGATTTGCAATCTCAAGGATTTCCATAACAATGTTTGAACTTAAGAGCCTCGATTCAGAGAGGTATTAGCCTCTTATTATGCTTGGGAGGTGTGCTACGGCTAATGGCCAGTTTCTATTACCCTTACCTATACGTCCATACTTGCATAGCACGAATTGGCTGTACCCTGCTTTGCAAAAAAGGACTCATGTTTAATTCCTTGTTTTCTGCTTGGATATCACAACGAGCTGTTATGTTTAGCTTTAGGACATCCCTGTCAAGGCATAACTTGCAGGAACATATGATATGATGTCACACAAACTTTCCTTCCACAGCATTAATTTTCTTCTTCTTTGCCCATAATGATACAAACACTGTAGTTCCATGTCTGGATTTTGCACTGCTTTCAAAAGTCTTTTAAAAAATCAAGGCTGCCTTCCCCACATACTGCTAACTCTACCAAAAAGTTTTGTAGTACATCCATTGAAAGGTCTCTGATTATTTCCTGGAGTAAAATGGGAAGCCTTGAGTCGATGCTTAATGTAACAAGCCTTTTTGCTAAATTTTCCAGTAACAGAGTTGTAGAAATCTTTCTTTTATATTGCTTTTGAGATGTAGCTGCTAAAATCACAGTATAAGAGATTGCAAGTGTCTGTTGTTTTTTTGGTAGAGTGAGGTGGTAACTTTCCCTTATTTGTGTAAGTTTATTGTTGTATCCAAGTATATTTGTGTTGGAATAGTTTGCTTCAAACTTTATTGTTTCGTGGACGGTATTGGTGTATTGTATAAAAATTTGTAGGTCTTCAAGGGCATGTGGCCAAATGGAAAATATATCATCAATGAATCTTTCCAAAACATTGGAGTATGCCCTATTGGGGCATTGTGTAAAATATGTTATTCTGTAGATGTCATAATTGGGAGGGAAGGGGCTCCCCATTTCAGTGCCTTGAATTTGTTGATAAAATCTACTATTAAAGATAAAATAGTTGTGTTTAAGTATGAATACCATCATTTGTTTCATGTAACTTGTATGCAATGTTGGGTTGTCCCCATAATGATTCCGGATGGCCTCGAGGCATGCCTCGATACTCGTCCTGGGGGATGTTGGTGTATAGAGATTTGACATCTAGCGTAACCAGCCATGAGTTTGGTAGAATGCTAGTGTGTATTTTGAATATTTGTTGTAAAAAGTGAGTGGTGTCTTTTATATATGAGGCACTTCCTTCTACTATCGGTCTAAGATAGTGTTCAAGGTATGACGAGAGTTTCTCCGTAGAGGAGCTCCAACCTGAAAGTATAGGCCTCCCTGGGATGCCCATCGTGTCAGGTGTAAGATATTCGAAAAGTGTTTCATCAATATGGTAGTTGTGGAGGAGATGCGTTAAAAAAGTTGTTATCTCGGCGGATGTTTCAATTGTGTGATCTACTGGGTGTTCTTTGTAATAGTTTGCATTTTCATGTTGTTTTGTGGCCTCGCATTAATACATGTCTTTAGGCCATATTACATTTTGGCCTCCTTTGTCAGCTTTTTTTATTGAAATATTGTCTATTTGTTTTAGGCTACGAATGGCCTCTTGCTTCTCTTTTGAAATATTTGGAGGGTTATAGTAGTTTTGTGTGTATAGGTTTAAAATGTCTGAGTGTATGTTTTCAAGATATGTGTAAATGTTGAGGTCTAAATTTCTGCTGCTTTACATCAGAGGCATATCGCTTTTCTTAAAAAGTTTTCGAGATTTTATAACGCAATAAGAGAGGCGGGTGGCAAACATGGCCTGACTGTCATTCTTGATGACAGTGCCATGCTCAAGCGTCATGTCTACCACGGCTCCCTGCAGTCTAAGCGCACTTTTTCCTAGCAAAAACCAAATGTTGAGTTTGAGTCTAAATTTCTGCTGCCTTCTATGAGAGGCATATCATTTTTTTTGAAAAGTTTATGATATTTTATAAATGAATAAGAGAGGCGGGTGGCAAACATGACCTGATTGTCATTCTTGATGACAGTGCCATGCTCGAGTGTCATGTCTACCACGGCTCCCTGAAGTCTAAGCGCACTTTTTCCTACAAAATGTTCAGTTTATCTCTAAATTTCTGCTGCCTTCTATGAGAGGCATATCACTTTTCTTAAAAGGTTTACGAGATTTTATAGAGCAATAAGAGAGGCGGGCGGCAAACATGACCTGACGGTCATTCTTGATGACAGTGCCATGCTCGAATGTCATGTCTACCACGGCTCCCTGAAGTCTAAGCGCACTTTTGCTAGTTAAAAATCAAAATGTTGAGTTTATGTCTAAATTTCTGCTGCTTTCTATGAGAGGCATATCACTTTTTTTAAAAAGTTTATGATATTTTATAAATGAATCAGAGAGGCGGGTGGCAAACATGACCTGACTGTCATTCTTGATGACAGTGCCATGCTCAAGCGTCATGTCTACCACGGCTTCCTGAAGTCTAAGCGCACTTTTTCCTAGTTAAAAATCAAAATGTTGAATTTATGTCTAAATTTCTGCTGCCTTCTATGAGAGGCATATCACTTTTCTTAAAAGGTTTACGAGATTTTATACAGCAATATAATAGGCGGGTGGCAAACATGACCTGATTGTCATTCTTGATGACAGTGCCATGCTCGAGTGTCATGTCTACCACGGCTTCCTGAAGTCTAAGCGCACTTTTTCCTAGTTAAAAATCAAAATGTTGAGTTTATGTCTAAATTTCTGCTGCTTTCTATGAGAGGCATATCACTTTTTTTAAAAAGTTTATGATATTTTATAAAGCAATAAGAGAGGCGGGTGGCAAACATTACCTGATTGTCATTCTTGATGACAGTGCCATGCTGAAGCGTCATGTCTACCACGGCTTCCTGAAGTCTAAGCGCACTTTTTCCTAGTTAAAAATCAAAATGTTGAATTTATGTCTAAATTTCTGCTGCCTTCTATGAGAGGCATATCACTTTTCTTAAAAGGTTTACGAGATTTTATACAGCAATATAAGAGGCGGGTGGCAAACATGACCTGATTGTCATTCTTGATGACAGTGCCATGCTCGAGTGTCATGTCTACCACGGCTTCCTGAAGTCTAAGCGCAGTTTTTCCTAGTTAAAAATCAAAATGTTGAGTTTATGTCTAAATTTCTGCTGCTTTCTATGAGAGGCATATCATTTTTCTTAAAAAGTTTTCGAGATTTTATAAAGCAATAAGAGAGGCGGGTGGCAAACATGACCTGACTGTCATTCTTGATGACAGTGCCATGCTCAAGCCTCATGTCTACCACGGCTCCCTGAAGTCTAAGCACACTTTTTCCTAGAAAAAAATCGAAATGTTGAGTTTATGTCTAAATTTCTGCTGCCTTACTTGAGAGGCATATCACTTTTCTTAAAAGTTGACGAGATTTTATAAAGCAATAAGAGAGGCGGGCAGGAAACATGACCTGATTGTCATTCTTGTTGACAGTGCCATGCTCGAGTGTCATGTCTACCACGGCTTCCTGAAGTCTAAGCGCACTTTTTCCTAGTTAAAAATCAAAATGTTGAGTTTATGTCTAAATTTCTGCTGCTTTCTATGAGAGGCATATCACTTTTTTTAAAAAGTTTATGAAATTTTATAAAGCAATTAGAGAGGGGGGCAGTTAACATGACCTGACTGTCATTCTTGATGACAGTGGCATGCTCAAGCATCATGTCTACCATGGCTCCCTGAAGTCTAATAGCGCACTTTTTTCCTAGTTAAAATTAAATGTTGAGAATTTAATGTCTAAATTTCTGCTGCGTTCTATGAGAGGCATATTATTTTCTTAAAAGGTTTAGAGATTTTTATACATCAGCATATAAGGGCGGGTGGAAAGCATGACTGATTGTCATTCTGATGAAGTGCTGCTCGAGTGTTCATGTCTACCACGGCTTTCCGAAGTCTAAGGGCACTTTTCTAGATTAAAAATAAATGTTGAGTTTATGTCTAAATTTCTGCTGCTTTCTATGAGAGGCATATCACTTTTTTTTAAAAGTTTTATGATATTTATAAAGCAATAAGAAGGCGTGTGGCAAAACATTGACTATTGTCATTCTTGGATGACAGTGCATTCTGAAAGCGTCATGTCTACTAAGGCGTTCCTGAAGTCTAGAGCGTACTTTTTCCTGATTAAAAATCAAAATGTATGAATTTTGTCTAAATTTCTGCTGCCTTCTTGAAGAGCATTCACTTTTCTTTAAAAGGTTTAAGATATTTATACGCAGATATAAGAGGCGGGTGGCAACTGACTGATTGTCATTCTTTGATGCAGTGCTATGATCGAGTGTCATGTCTACGCAGGCTTCTGAAGTCTAAGCGCAGTTTTTCCTAGTTAAAAATCAAATGTTTGAGTTTTATGTCTAAAATTTCTGCTGCTGTTCTATGAGAAGCATATTAATTTTTCTTAAAAAGTTTCGAGCTTTTATAAAGCAATAAGAGAGAGGGGTTGGCAACATGACCTTGACTGTATTTCTTATAAGACAGTAGCCATGGCTCAAGCCTCAGTTACCGGCTCTGAAGTTAAGCACCTTTTTTCCTAGAAAATAAATGAAATGTTGAGTTTTAATGTCTAAATGTTCTGATGCTTACTTTGAGAGGCATATCACTTTTCTTCAAAGTTGAGAAGATTTTTATAGCATAAGAGAGGCGGGAGGATAACATGACCGATTGTCTTCTGTTGACAGTGCATGCTCGAGTTCATAGTCTACAGGCTTCCGTGAAGTCTAAGGCGCTTTTTCCTAGTTAAAAAACAAATGTTGAGTTTATGTCTAATTTCTGTGCTTTCTATAGAAGGCTATCATTTTTTTAAAAAGTTTATGAAATTTTTTATAAAGCAATTAGGAGGGGGCAGTTACATGGACTGGACTGTCATTCTTGATGACAGTGGCATCTCAAGCGATCATGTCTTACATGGCTCCTGAAGTTAAGGGTACTCTTTCTAAGATAGAAATAAAATGTTGAAGAGTTCATGTTAAATTTATGTGCTTAGCATGAGGTTGAGATAAGATTGACATGTTATTGTGGTTTAGTGGCCCTGAATTTAATGGCTTTTGAGCAGCTTTTTATTGCATTTTTTAGTTAGTTTTATTGGTAATTTTCTTCGCTTGGTGCCAATGGTTTTTCCTAGTAATGGTGCGTTTGGAGCGCCTGTGCTAGGATGGCCGTGTTTATTGCGAATTATAGATTAGGCAGAATAATGAAGTAACAAAATAAAGACATGTTATAGGTAGACAGGGTTAATAGTGTGAATGAAGGGAATTAAATAAACATATACGCTGGAGCATGTTTGTATATACATATAAAGATGAAAAAAAATGGTTATTATTATATTTAAAGCTTAAGCAGCAAAAAATACAGCAAGAAAAGGGGGGGGGAAAAGGAAATTAATTTAAAGGGGTATCTGGTGTTGCCTCCTGGGCGTCTTTGCAGGTCTGTGTGTGTTCCCCCTGCCCCCTGTTTCCCAGGGGCGGGGGGAAGCTGCTGGTTCTTGGCATTGCAGTTTGTCTATTCCTGATTATGTCCGGGATTATAGAATGCTCTTCATCTTTCATATCTGTAAGGGCTAAGGTGTGGGTGGGGCGTGCCAAGGGTTGCTAAAAGGAGAAGATGCAAAACACGTATACATAGAGAAAAGGAGGTAAAGAATAAGATAATATATATGGAAAATAGAAGTGAAGGAAGCAGGTTAAGTGCGGACAGGTATATAAGCTTCGCGTTGGGTAAGAGGCCTAAAGGAGGGCAGGCACAGAAGTAACTGCGATGTGGTAACGAAAGCAATAAAACAAGTTGCAGTATAAGTGGATGGGAAGAGTAAATATTCAATAAGTATAAGTATAATCGGCGTGATTAGGCTAGGAACTACAATGTAATGATAATACCGTAGTGGGAAATACAATTGTAATGGAAACGCGCAATCACACGCTGGAGATTGTGCCCAGCGTGACCCCCTTACTCATGGTTGTGATGATTTGGTGAGGATTAGGAATGTCTTGATCCTCATAAAGTTTGGCCATTCTTCATATGTTAGATATGACGGCCTAGTATGATAATGTAACAGAAGTGGTGAAGACTTACAATTTGGTGGCGTGGTGAAGACAAGATCAAGTAAATATAGAACTGAGGCTGGACTGTTTTAAGGTAAATTGATTGATGCTGACAGAGTTGTAGGTAGACAGTATGATGGACTTCCCTGTAGAGGGGAGTATTAGACGAGCAATGAGGCACGTGGGAAGAGGGGAGAGGTGCAACAGGGGGCGGCCGTCAGTGTTTAAAAGGCTAAGAATTCTTATAATTAGCTAAGCGTTTATTTTCCAAGGTTGAGCATCGAACAAGCTCTTGTGAAATTGACTGTGTATTATTGCACTTTACATAGAATCATGGTTGCATTCTTCTCGAATATTGCAAAGTGGAAAGTTTTTCAAAATTTGTTTTGATTAGCTTGAACAATAGAACGTTAAATGAATCTTATATGTTTTACAGATTATCAACAGCCATGCTAAGGGAACAACAACAAAATTCTTGATGACTTTGTTAGTTTATTTTTGAATGTGAGTGTGAACTTTTAATTTACCTTTGAAGCTGATATTCATACTTATGGTAAAGTCAATTAGATAAGGTCATACTCAGGCATTGGGAACGAGGGATGTAGACACAAACATAATAACTACAGGTACCTGAAGCGACATCTCTCGGAACGCTGCGGTAACACTTACTTGAAAAGTGCCGAGTCGTGGAGACAAGTTATTGCTAGGTTGGTGCAAAACAATTTTTAAAAAATGTCTTAAAAAAGAAGTATAAGCCTTATTGAGTCTATTGCAGTAATAAAAAATGATATAAAATAAAAGCAGTATATTAACAAGGTATAGAGTTCTAAATTGAAATAGGTTGAAAGTAAGGTAATAACTTTCTGTTAAATCATTTGAAAAGACGTTAGGTTTCCTAACTAGATAAGTTAGTTATAAAACACGCGATTGAGGAAAGAGGTGGTTGGCTTTGTGTAGTTTTTTATGCCAGAGCCGCGGTGTCAGTACGTGTTATAAGTTCTAAACTTATTCGAGAAAAAATAGATGTTCCTCTCTTATTAACATTTCTTGTAGGGGACACAACGTTTATTTTTCGATTTTGAATTAAATGAATTCTATTATTCAATAGCAAGTAGACATTCAATAATTTGAAACATTTTAAATAAAACGTTATGTCAACAACCATTAAGATTGTTCTAGTATTCATGGTACTATGGCACATATGGTAATTTCACATACGTTATGCCGATGTGGTATAGAAACACCATAAGGACCTATTGGCGGATGGTAGATCCAACTTGCTCTGAATCGATTTGAAAACTTGGTACTGTAGTAAGTCAATACTTGATGGATTTGGTACCGGACACATAGGACCATTCTTACTTTGGCAAGCGCGCAAAACTAAAATCGTAAAAACTTTTTATCTTAAAAAAGCTCC